TACGGCACGTTCCAGTTGGGCTGTTTAATGCTTGAACCTTTGGCGACTTGAGGGACATATTGGGTTCAGTTTTGTTAGGTGGAACATCCAACACCAAAAGAAAGACATCAGTATTACCGCCAGAGTTTACATATATATATATATATATATATACTTATAAGCCTCCACCCTCCCAATTTCAGTTGCTCATTTGGGCTTGTTCTTTGAATTATCCCTTGTCCTATTCCAAGTTCCAGATTTTCCAACCTTATCCCCAAAAACATGTAAGATACGATCTTCCGCAACTTTCAGATCAAAAATAGCAAAATACGACTTTCAACTCAGATATAAGCTGACTGTACAATTGGACCTTTACATAATTACGCCACCAAAGCTTTAGCGTACAAAGTAAAAATAATACGGTGGTCATTTCCAGTATTCCCACACGAAAGCTACCTAACCAGCCTCACTATGTGGGTCAATCGAAATCATGAGCTATGGTCAGAAGGTTCGTAGTGAACACCGGGTCCATGCTTAGCAGAGTGAGGGTCAAGAAACTTGGATCAAACTTTAGTAGATGAATATACAGGAGGGATTTCCCAGTGTAAGTACATACGTCTGTCCAACAGCTACAAGAAAGGCACCAGATGATCTTTCAACACTCTGCTTCACAAATAACCCTTCGGAAGTTTGTACATTACGGTCTTTCCTAGAACGATATACCTTACCGATTTCTTCGCTTGAGGGTTGTCGTAAATCTCCATACGACGTCCTTCATTTTTGTCGCTCCACTAAAAACTACCTTCGCTTTTCACTCAAAGGTGAGTTGCTTCACCTGACACAATGTTTACCGTTCACAATGCAGTGTAATATTGTAATGGCTCACACGTTGTAAATAATAAGCCCAGACATGACAATTTGAAATTTTGCTGACATTCGCCTTTGCTTCATGTGGTCGAGTATCATTGTATTGTTTGGCGTAATGATACACATTGGCTTTAATGCACATGAGTGAGTGTATTGCGACCGTGTACGTGACGAGATCCTCTGCAAATATTTTGTTCTCAAGTAAACGTACACGTGCGTCCATGAGAACCGAAACTTTTATGAAAGGAGTTATTTTAAACATTTTCACTGTTCTGAATAACCGGTTTTCGTCGTGTTGGCTTCACTGTACAACTTCTCTTCCTCTTAGAATGATGGAGGTTAAATGGCTCACACGGATACCTTTCCACGGAACGAAACTTAGCGGCGGAAAACACAGTATCCCATCGAACCGATGGCGTATTGTACCTTGTTTTGCCAAACCTGATTTCAATATCTGTGTGACTGGGTGGATGGATATTCAATGGGGTCTATCCAACATGTGCCAGGCACGTAAACCATCGATATTTCAAGTAACCAAAATGCCTACATAGGTATTATTTAACTACCTATCATTTGACAGATGATCTAGGATTTATGAGCATTTATTCAGCACTGCATTAACTAATAAGTCAACCTTAGCTTCAGATGGTAAATCTCGAAATTTGCTGGGCAGAAAGGCGTTTTTTTTTTTGGGGGGGGGTGGAATTGGAAGTATGTTCATCAGTTGCATTCAGAAAGCAGGTTCGGAATTCCAATACATCGGTCGGTGAAGCACAACAACCCCTAAAAGTGGGGTGAATTTTTTCCAATCTCGGGTCAAAACTAAGGCGATTGTCTGCTGCAAGCATTAAACGCGTGTAATGACTAATGGTTCAAACAAGTGCTAAGCAGATTTCTGGTAATTTCTAGTTATCAGTGGGGATATCCAAGCTAACTGACAGGCGCAGACCATGTGAATTCACCAGTCAATATCGTGACCGAACACATTGAACAGGTCCTGTTGATGCGACGTTTCATGAAACCAATAAGGTTTCTAAGCAGTGGTAGATCCGCCCAAGTTTGAAAGCCATGTCAACGGACGCTTCTCTGTTAAGTGTACGTACGCAAGAAAGCTGCTACAGACAGTCCATAGTTTATCTGTTGGAATATTAACAGAAATTAAACTGTCAGTGATCCTATTCAATTTGTGGGGGATGCACACCTTAGTACCTTGAATGTCGTAAAATTATGCAACCTTACATTGTCCTATTTTTTTCGGAATGCGTTTACCTAGGCTTGCTGAAAAAGGTTTTATATTTATTTTTAGTTGTTTAGTCCTTTGGCGATACTCAAAACTTGCTACTTATTTTCGGTGTTTTGGGTCACTTTTTTCTACCCCTAGAGGCACAACGTCAATATTTCCGCCACATTTCCCGTTGTACATTAACAAACATGGTTTTCCCGTACAGAAATATGGGGCTCCTGTTCAACCTGGGACATCTTTTCAGTCAAATCACGTCACCCACAGCACTAGTGGGTTGAATTCGCGATTAAATTAGACGTGTTACTCACAAAGCTCTTCTAGCATTATTTGCTTGTTGAGCGACGGGTGCCAGTCCCCGGCTTTTGAAACCATCCCAAATTGAGCGTTGAAATAAAAACATATTGGAAGGTTTGACTTCACAGAAAAACAGCAGTTTTGCGCTTATTTTTATCCTCTATAGGTTGCTTGTCCTCGGCTTGCTCCATAAAATTGCGATCTTTTTCTTTTGGCACATTGACTGAACAGTTCGTTTCAGCTCTGTATATACTCTACCAATATGTTTCAAAAATATTCTAAAAAGCCTGCGTTCAAATTCGTTTATGGGATAGTCTGATAATCGAATACGGCAGTAACGATAAAGTATTTAAGTAGGCAGCAGGGATCAAGGTTAAACTGGCACTCCACTGGTGGATTAGACACTTGTGAAGTGATCAGATGCTTAGACTGACCGTGACGAAGTGACGTTCATCTCTCAGTAAAATGATATAAAATCAGATGTACTAACCTCAACCGTGAGCCCTGCATATTTCGAATTCGGTTCAGGACTCGTTATCGAATGAAGCAATAGAATATCATAAATTGCATTTCCCACGCTAGTAGTACTCAGTAGGATGTCTTAGAAGTTATGGACGTGCGAGGTCAAAATCTATAATAAACGAGCTGAAAAACTGCTGTGACCTAGAGATTTTGAAAATCAGTCGTGTCGTATGCGAATTAATAACATCAGATGAGAGCAGCTCACTAACATCCCCCAAACTATGGAACTATCCACCCCTGATTGGATTGCTTAACCACAATCAAATGACTGTCCAACACCGAACCCTGGTCAGAATATCAACCAATTGTAGAATTCGCCATTATTGCACATAGGAACTAAAGTCCCTCAGTCAGCTGCCCCTTACTGGTGGACTGATAGATTATACTTTATCATATGAATGCAATCATACCACTAGTAAGGTTTTCCTGCCTCATTATAGGTTTACCGGTGCAGATAGGCGAGATGAAAGTTTGTCTGAGTTTATCACTTGTCTCCTACCCTGTATACTTATCAACCAAGACCAATAATTATACACAAAACCGAATACTCCAGCTGTCAACAACACTCCCAATTTCGGGTGGTAAAACTGTAGCGATTTTGTAACCTCTTTGAACGGGCTTGCTCTGACTTAATTTAGGTTGCTGCTACGAAGCGTGCGGTAGATGAATGCTACTGCGACGATCCAAGCGTAACGACAATCGCTGGGCAACAAACATCTTGACCACTCATGCATGGTGATTAATTCAATGCCGAGCCCGAGTACCAAAAGATGTTCGATGTCTACTGAAACGGTCGAGTGATGAGCTATGTTCCGTTTCGGCTGGATGGATTCCAACAGAGAGGTGTTTTCGGAATATAAATAATCGTCACGTCACCCCCTCCATTGGATGAATTGTGTTGGAAAAGTCGAATCAGATTGTGCACTGAAATATACAAATATTTTTTTCTAAAAAACGTAATAGTATGCTTGCAAAACCTGCAGGCTTTCAACACAGAGGAAGCAAGGCAACCTGTGCACGAAAGGGGTGGAGTAATGCGCACTCTGAAATAGTCACGTTGAAACACGATTGTGGTGTCTAGTCGAGCAAGTAACCAACCACGATGGGCTATGTTGTCAGATATTCCTGTGTGTAAAAGGGTTCTTGTCTGGTGAGTACAGAATGCCTATATTCTATTCTAATCACAAAACAAGGCTATCAACACTGTGACGTAAACGAATTAGGTGCTTACTCTCCTTCCCAGAGATTTCGTTGGAAACCACGACGTTCCTAGTGTGGCCTGGCGTTTATTGCTCAAAACCTGAAACAGTTCTAGCTAAAGCTAACTAACTCAGACCTCAAACCTGGCAGAATTACGTCAAGGTGAAAGTTCTAGACGAGGGCAGTTAACTTGCGGACAGAATTTCGTACACATCTGGGACTGTAAGACTCGCCGTCCGGAAGCACAACTAAAGTGACGATCAATTCAACATCAGTCACTACAGGAAATGATGGAAACTGCGTCTGGAAAGTGTCCTGTACGGCTGGAGATTACAGCATATGCCCGGGGTGCTATACTTGAACTGCCAGGTTTTATGGGTAGCCAGGCGAAGGCTTTAATATTCCAGTCAGCTTTTGCTCCACGAAATAATTCAATTTTGCTGAAAAGCGCATAAGTGATATGCATATTTTTCATTCCACCAATTATGTTTAGAAATATGAATCTTACAAAACTTGTGAAAGTTCTGACCTTCTAAGTGAGCCAGCACTCATTTCGTTCTGGAGACGCCACGGCATTCAGTTTATTTAAATAACCGGATATTGTGTTATTCAAAAAGCTATAAACTTGGAAGCGAACCTCATGATTCCAGGCGAAATTGCTTTTTTAATCCAAAAAATCCGTCCATATGAGGCTTTCCACCAATGTTGGCGCTGGTCCCTTGCACATACGGAGATCGATCTAATGATTGTTACATCACTAGTAAGATGCTGTCATCCTGAAGAACATATGACCACAAATTTGGTGCAACCATTGAGTTTGTCAGAGAGAATAGCGTCTTTCCACTCACCCGTTTTACCTCACCAGTTTTTGTCGAAGAACTTCGGTGTATTAATCCTAACACAGTCCACATCGTCTACGCCTTGAATTGGTTTGCCAATTAATCGGTGCCCCAGTAGGAAAACTTGTTTGATCGTAACGTGGAGAGGGGCTTAGGTCGTGAAGTAAATTACACTAAATGTGAAACGTATCGTCAATTTATTTACCCCTGGATATATCTTTTAAGAAAATTCGGAAGCGCTTCACCAAAAGTTTTACAATACCCTAATTCAATGTCCGAGGAAGGAGTTTCCTAGCTAAATTTCCTGGGAAGATGATTGTGAATTTCATTGGCTTCGTCGATAAAGTTCAGCGCTTCCAGCCCAAGAAGTCCATAAACTACTAACTCAAAGCCCCCGTTTTCGCCAGTAATTTATATTCTCCAGACGATGCAAAAATCCAAGGAACATCACTTAGGAGATTACATGTATGGTGAGATACAAAACTGGCATAAATCTGATCCTGCTTGACAGGAGACTTTATGTGGCAGATGTAAATTTTATTCTCGCATACGTCGGGCTAACACACAACCGAACACAAACTACCGTATTCGCCTAATGCAGCCGTTCATCGAGCGTCCGCTGTCAGTGACCGTTTTTCCAGACATGCAAGATGAGACGATACATCTGCCAGCTTCGGGGCACACAGTTGGAGGCAACAAAGTATGTGTACAACAGAACTTCAACTTCCTCAAATGACCTCCATGACAGCTTTCTCGAACTATCGGCCACCACCAGAGAATATTACCATTGGGGTAAACGATGTTTCTGAACGTCACCCATACATTGTTTGAGCTTGAAGTGGACTTGAACGCCCGGTGAAACCAACCGTAAAGAAGTGCAGTGCATCGCACACGACGTATTCGGTTCAAGGAAAGTTTTTTTGGCGCGGATAGAATGTGAGTCCGCGTTTTTCACGCTAGGAATGCTCTTGATAAATAGTAATCAACAGACGAAGTGAACCTACAGAATACAACTTTTGATTGTATTTGTGATAGATTCCAGAATCTTCCATTAGCCACTCAATTCCTCTGCTCGGTTGTCGTGAATTTTAAATGTCGTGCAGAAGTTTCGTTACGTCCTGAGTTCGAATGCCAGAATATTTTTGCGCGAAGGGAGCTTAAAATGTGGTCGAAGATGGCATTCGAATGTGGTGCGAGTGGTTTCACCAAAGTGGCCAGCATCATCTGTTTCTACTGAGGCTGTAATACATAACCCAACTGATTGGAATTCATGGTTGTCATGAGTCCAGTGACTCCTCAATAAAGGAATGTTCCCAATCCAATTATAAGAAAACGCATTTCTGTTGGATTTGGGGTTGGACAAAATAATGAATTAAAGACGGAACAGTATCCACAGTTGAGGACTTAATTAAAAAATGAAACGGAATATTTTCATAAATTCACTTTTCCGGTGCAAAAATAGGGAGAGGGGTATTCTGAATAATTGTTCAAGATCGTGATCTCTACAGCTCACAGTGCTCCATTATAAGTATGCGTATAAGTATATATAAGTATGCACGTAATACATTACTCGTGATGTTACGGAAAATGCTTCGACATTCCATGACCGGTTTCGCCCTTCTTGAGGCTCATCAGGTAGGCGCACCCCCGAGTTGCCGCCAGCCTTATGTACTATTTGAAACTAAATTGCACGGAATTAGCGAAATACACTCATTCGCAAACAAATTTGATTTTGAGAGCGACTCACCTGGACCCAAGCTGAATCTCTCATTTGTGATGTTTTCAGGCAACTGAATGTGTTGCACAAGGCCGCATCATAAACGAGAGATTCAGCTGAGCTCCAGGTGAGTCTCGTTGTATGCAATTCTTTTAGGGTGTTGTTAGGTAGAACCACAACAGTATTCTCCAGATGGGCCAAATGAGATTCGAGTCAAAAGAATCAATCTGGTGCCGGTCATTTTACCGCCAAATTTCTTGATGACACCCGGCCTTCTGAGTTAATAAAATCCAGCATTACCGATATGTGTTGCTGTTAATGCGTCGCCGCATCTACTTCCGGAGGGACACCAAAGGGTGCTAGGGCCCATCGGGCACGATGACAACAGTAGAGAAAACCTAATGAAGCGAACTCAAAGAGAAGTGATTATTTTTCTTTTTTTCTTTCATAAAATATTATCCGATGGCAACTGGGTATCCATTGCGCCTCCCTTCGCTTTTTCGAGATTAGGTTGTGTTGACCGAACAATCGCAAGACGGTCGTGGAAGAAAAATCATGGTTTGAGATTATCCAGACGAAGTGTTGTACAAACAGGAACTTTCTTCTGACATATTTTAAAGCCTACAAATAGAAGTCAAAGACAGCCACGCTTCTGTCAACCCTAAATGGATAAGACCTTGTGTGTCGGTAAGTAAACTGAGGCACCTCTGGTTCAGAAATGATTACTGCTCCACTGATTATGACACCTGCCACACATAGGAATGTTTGTCCCTCCTTGAACAGAAAGAAACATTGTCGTCTCGAAGTGGTCTTTGCTTTGGAAGCTGCACTGGTTCCGAATGGGGTCTATGCGTATATCAAGGTGGGCAATAGCATTCCTTCACCTCAGGATAATCGAGGTGACAGGTTGCCGGGAAGGGTCTTCCGTCTGGAGCAATACAGATCCGTGAAGTTAATGGCAGCTAGCGCCACTAACCTTCTGAATGATACATTCGGTCCTCTGATCAACCTGAGTGAACGACGAGTTCCGAGACCTGGTAAATCCCGCCGGCGAATCCTTCACCCAGGTACACGAACTATTTTGGAGTTCGCTGACCGGTGACTGTACTTTCAAGATGGAGACTTCTTCGCCTCCAAGGCCAGGGAAACTCTTCGAACATCCATGCTCCAACGTGCCGTAACAACAGACACAGTTCCGCTTCGAACAACAAAAGATCCTGTATCGCAATATATTGTGGGGGGCACATGAATTATGTACACCTATAGTAAGCAGTTCTAAGAGGATGAATACGCTTTAACGTGAAGCCAGGACCCAATAGCACGAAATCCACAGCCAGCATCAATTTAACTGTATATTGATGGACCGGAACATCGATAAAATTGATTGTTCTCGTAACAATTGTACAACGGCGAACCTGTTGAAATCCAGTCCCCAATGAACCTAGGCTGAATTTGGCCTCACGGTAATCTCGGCTTTCCTGGACTCTAAACTTGCTCTGTCGTCTTGTAGTTGCAACTGCTTACTTCAATTAGCCCGAAATTTCCTAGATGTGATAGCTTCAAGTAGAACATAAGGGCAACGGAAACTCATGCACTGCGCCTACATGACGAACCCCAAGAAGGACGAAACAGGTGATGAGCCGTCGAAAAGTTTCTTTTAAGAAACCATTCAGTGTATTGTTATACCCATCCCAACGATCATTCCCAACGATAATTTCCAGTCCACCTCTCAAGAATTTGTGAACTGGCTGGGCTGGGCTCAACGAACAGGAAAACAGCCACAACAACCCGAATGGCCGAAAGTCCCCTCGATAGCAGCTTACAAACTTTTGCAACTTGCTTGGTATCCGTCCAAGAGCATTCTAAACCTAGTACACCATCTCCATTTGATGCACTCAACAAGTAAAATGGTGTGGACGGAAATACCCAGAAAACTACCAATTTTTCGCACATGGGTCATATTGCAAGATGGTCATGAGTTCCGTAAAGCCTGTCTCCACTGGAGTTTCTTACTAGGTGCGTCAGAACCATCTCTCCAACGCCATCGCCAAAAATAGGAAACGAAATAAGCTGATTCAGCTAGCTTTCAGCCACCAACACAGTGTGCGCCCAGTCCGTTTTACGTGAAGAATTTTCGTGATGAAAGGTGAAGTTCGGTAGTTGGTTGTGCTATTGAACAGACTGCAAATGTGGTGTGAATGCAAGAGGGCTTCTTTGATTCGCTTTTGCAGGGCAGAAATAATTCCAGTTATCGTAGCTTCTATTGATATCCTAGTGTACATATACCATACTGACGGTACTCAAGAACCTAGTCTCTTAACAAAACGTGGAGACGTTTAGCGCGAAACAGGACACCTTTACAAACCCCCGTTTAAAAGATGAATAAATGACATGCCACCAAGTTCGGTTTACAGAACTCCATATTATCGTTAGCCTTGCTCTTTCCTTAGTTTGTACCGAATGACTCGGGTACCTCAATCCAGAGACCATTTAGTGAATAGTCTGGTTTGGTTCACTCATCGACTATTCAATCAATATAATTGATACTTGCTCATACGCGAGCACATTTACCTCAGCAGATATGCACCTCAACCCTTGTGAATTTGTGCAAAACGGGTTTTCCTCGTCGCTCGCGTACGTTTGGATTCTGCATGAAGGGCACCACAGTCATCAGTTCTGACAGAACAAGTTTTAGCCGACTCCCAACGATAACATACCCCTGGCCACAGAGGCGTGTAATCCCAAAAACTGGATTACCGTTGGCATGGGGGGATTGCGCCCCCCTTTAGAATGCATACGTTATGTGTTCTTGTGCGCGCAAGACACTTGTAAGTCATCTATGTGACGCGGCTTCGCGTTCACCCACATGCATTTTGCACAACTGTCACACTCCACTGTGGTAGACAACACAAGTCAGAATAACCTGTGGCAGTAGAAAATAGATGGATCCTAGTAAGGATAGGACTCCTATAAAACAGGCGGATAAATGAGCCCTAGGAAGTTCGGTTATTAAACTGTATGGAAAACTTTCTCCGATTGAATTTCACTGTGATTATAATCAAACGACACGGAGTGTAAGACATCCACATCAAAATTACCATCTTCAACGCATAGATATCCAGTTATCCGTTTCTTCAAACAACCAACTGATTACGTCACCGCCTCCAATGAGTGGCTATATCGTCTTGCTCTCCAGTTTCCGGCGACAGAAACTGTAGCAGCTGGAACAAACGTACCCAAAGTATACACATGGTTTATAGCTGATGATGTGAATAAATCGCACTGCACGAAAAACAATCCTCAAGCGAGACGAAGTGTAGTAGTAGGCTGGATACAAGTCGAGCGGACAAATGCGTGAATTCCTTATTGTCACGATTTGATTCATGTTGTTCTCTAGTTCGGCTGGTCAATATTTCTATGTCCATTGATGTCATTTCAATCAACCAGCTAACCAACAAATTAAAATTTGAAAGATCAGCCACCAATCAACCTTTTCAAAGATAGGCGTCTTTCGACATAGTGTATCGTTTCTCGGCCTAGACGCACGGTCACGGTGGAAAACGAAATTGGGCTAAACCAATTCCAGCACGATCTAAGCTACTCAGATAATCGAACAAGTTCAGCCAAATTTTTATTCTTTAGATGTGATGCCCAGGCGATGACCAAGAATCCCTCAGTTTGTGACATAGACGAGCAAATAACCAAACGGTGGGTCTGACAATCAGTAACCATCTAGTGAAACACTTTAACGCAAGGACAGCTCCATTTTCTGAATTGGTACCCTCCCCTACGTTGTAATTAGCTCATAACGGAGACAATCCACTTGAAGATTGAACCGCATGAGATTGTGATAACAAAACTACGGTTGGGTTTTGTCTGGGTTTATTTGAATGAAACGTGCTGATGCTGACTGTTCGGTGACTTTCTTACTGACAGTCCCGCCTGGTTGAGCAACCCTTGTTCCATGAAAACAAATGCATGTGAAACATGCATTGCTAGGCAACCTGAAGTGAATATGAGACACAAACAGGGTGCGACACGTGCAGGGTCTTCTCCTTTGGTCAATCCACATAAAATAGTGGCTGACGGTGGCACCTCCCAGTTGTTTACTTCTCAAATGATTCGGATGGTTGGTAACGGACAATACAGTTTTGCAGAAATGAATGTTGTTCATAAGAGGTTACCAAAAACGGTGCACAAAGCAACAGAGACAAAAACGGTCCATTCTCAACCATCAACAGACGATAACATGCCCCAGTAAAAGTGTCCCAACAGATGGGAAAATCGTCAAAACCCGCGGTTAGTTATCGGTTCATTCTAAAACTTCGAGTGGTGCGGGACGCGTCCTGATTTAGCTACGCTGCTGCCCTAATTAACAACCAACACAACTCGAGGGTAGAGAGTAATAATCAGAGTACAAGGAAGCAATGCAAGGAAGCAAAAATGATTGGCGACAGTAAAAAGCAATGGGCACCTGTCATGCGAATCCACCCTGGTTGAAAAACACAGATCACCAAAATAGAAACACGAAAACCGCAGACAGCAACAACGTATGGGTGGCGAGCGCAGACGTTGTCCTTGATAAGAAAGATGCTGTGGACCGTTTACCACAGTGCTCGGACCGTTCAATATGTGCACGAACTGCCCGTCCTAGCGTCATTCGTGCTATGGTTTTGATTGAGCTAAAGAAATTCTGCCCAACTGGAACATTTTATCAGTTGGCAAATAAATGGCACCAAGCGAAGACGTGCTACTCTTGGAGTTGACTTAAAGGGCATTAGCGTGGTTCCTAATTAGTAAGGGGATCGATCGTAGAATTTAACCAGTGGTTCCTTTTGGGAGAACAGATCCCCGTCAGAGTGAATCAAACAAGTGAATTATCCCTGGATGAACACGTCATACTTGAAGTGACCTTTATTTTCGTTTGTTCGAATTATGATTTAATTACGCCGGGCAACAAGTACTACATGACGTTGGAAGGCCAAATGAACTTTTTTGTGGAGGCTCAAAAACTTAAGTAGACAAGTTTCGTGGTCTTGAGATCAGCATATTGTTCTTTGTCAAACATTCTTATCTACCTCTAAGTTGTTTAACCAGTCATTTGAAGATTAGCCCATTACGTACAGAACACCATTTACGCCATAAACTTACTAACCCACTATACTCCTCGTTTTTATAGCTCTATAATCATTCCAATGTTCCTCAACGGAAAGCTTAGCTGAAATAACTTTTTGAAGCATAAAGCTGATCCACCTGGTTTGCGAAAGCATTGTCGTCACATTGAAGAATAGCACCGTGACACTTTCGACGGTCCACCCTCCTAGATACTGAATCTTTGATTTTGTGCTAGATGATGTCCGCTAAGACAATGTGAGGAAACTGCAAGTATGTGGGATTCAAAAGACAAACCATGCAGACTCAAATAGCCAAATGTTGCCGGCTTTGTTTGGTCCGCGATGACGATAAATTCAGGAAGCAACTAGGGACAAGTCTGAAGGTGCTGTTACTCCCTCACTCATCTGTGACAGTAATGACATCAACTCAGTAGTACCCGAGAAGCAGTTTTAGCTGACTCAAATGACCTACGTCTTCCTTGTGAGAGGACTGGTTTATCTCGAGTGACATGCTAGTCCAGAATTATAGGTCAGTAAACTTGAATAAGCAGTCGTGGAATAAGCCGAGTGAGACAGCCTGCCAACAATTCAAAATATTCGTAGGGTTGACTAAAATAAATAGACTGACCATCGCTGAACCATCTCGCCAGGGTACATGTCGATATTTGCAGCAGTACGCTAGACTATACGTTTGTACGGCAATGTCAAGCTCATTAGCATCGAAAGTAACCAATGAAACCAAAGGTGATGTTTAAGTATTCAGACCCGACACAACTAAACAGATCTCAATCGCAATCTTCGCGTTTTCTGATTTAAAACACAGTGTTCTCTGTTGGAGAGTAGCAGAGCTAAAATTGTTGAAACTCTTCGGTCACTTTTGGGACCTTGATATTCTGCCTGTCAGGTCAACGACGATGTTTGCACAGTAGGAACAGTGAATTCTTAGGGGGAGATCTGTGGTTGATTAGTGGACATGAAATCCACCAGGATCTGTGCTCGATTAGGAGGCCAATAAAAAACGAACACGTTAGCATCCTTTCAGTAGCGAGCAGTTTAACTTGTCACCACAATACTGTTACCACCACCACAGGATCATTCAGCTGTGATTCGAGTATAGACAGCCCGGTAGCAATAAGGATGATCTCATCTTAACTGAATATATGATAAAGAGTTAGGAAGTCTAGTAGAGTACACAACAGGGACCAAAGTTTGACTTCCCATCATGACTGACTGCTACCCACATGCAGATTTCCTGTCGCACTAGACTTAGCTTAAGATAGGTTTTACCACACGCAGCTCGGAAGAAACTCCAAGAAACCATCGTTAGCTGAATAAAAACTACAAACAATAATAAATTGGCGGCGAGTAGAATAAATAGTTCCGAAGTCACTGTCATGCACAACTAACGGTTCATAATTATCAAATCATGGGAGGATTGGAAATTAGATCCGAAAGTATACACGTGTAAGTCTACCCCGTGAGTAACCAGTATGCAACTTAGCTTGTATGCGGATGGCTCAGTGGTTAGAGCGCGAGTTTACTGAACGGAAGGTCCGTGGTTCGAACCCGACCTCTGCCTCTCGACTTCTCTCTAGGTTGGAGTAAAATGGCAATATCTCAGCCCTCGTGCTTCCTTCGGGTGGCATGGGAGTTAGGCACCGACAGGGTGCTACAGCTGAATGAACTAACAAACAGCATCAGTTATGTCCAGGAACAGTAGTATAAGGTTATTTAACACATCTGTGCCTGCATGCAGGAATACAATCTGAAGTTATACTCGTGCCATAATAATGGCTCCCATCATTGGATAACTCTGCATGATGCGGGAAACCAGATCTTTCGACGAAATATGTCGTGGTCTTTATTTCACACTGATGCTTTCAACGGATACCTAAATTCACTGACGATGGGACGGTCCTCTTTTTCTGGCACTCAACACTAAAAGAAGTGCAGTCAAAAGGAGTTTGTGCTACTAAAATCCAACGATATTGCGTCCAAACCCTGGAGTCTTATCAAACTGCGCAATATACACATAACCACTTAATCGCGAAATTCATCCCGTGGGTAATGCAAAGTGATGAATCAAAACATCTAGATGTAGGTACCCATAATTGGCCCGGGGAGGTAAAGCTGCGAAACCGGAACCAAACATAATCAGCTCCTCATTGTTCATCAACCGCAGGCAAATTCAGAAACACACGACGAGATACAGTGAACTCGCTATTGAATTAAGAAAGAAAAGGGGCATTGTACAAAAGGCAACCGAGTTATAAGTTCATGGTACCATCTGACAAACAACCACTTCAGACTGATACTCGACTGTCACGGAGGTCGATGCACTCTCACAAACTTCCTCGGCAGACACCAACTGGATGCGAGGAAGCGGACAGGATTCGGAACAAGTAAACACATACAAAGAGCCAAAATCGGGACAGGCTTCACCCAGGCGATCCAGCTTCAAATAGTTCAGTATTTGAGGAGTTACCTGAAGAAAAAGACATGAAGACTCAGTATCCTGAGATTTCAACTCGATTATTACTGAGACAATCACCTGTAAGCTCGTTTACATCCCATGGAATTCCAATGGATCCCAGCGGTTAAAAACACATTAACTCCTGTGCCTCTTTAAGCTATCCAGCGCGACCTAGAATTTCTGATAAAGGAGTGGCTTAGGGAGAAATTCGGCTAGGAAATCAAATGAATAGAAACGTGGTCGTGGATTAGAGGTGGTAGTGCTATCACAGCCAAATTGAACAAAAGATGGAACATGGAAGAGTAGTTCTGTACTCTCTCTCTCTCTCTCTCTCTCTCTCTCTGGGTGAATAACACCCCATAGCGCCTAGACGTTGTGGTTCCATACAGAAAGAATAAATTTGCTGAAGGTCTTGAAAGCCTTTTAAAAGCACTATATTCGTCCACAATCTCACTTGATGATGGTCTTAAATTACGATCTTCAGAACGCCTGTTGTGCCATATGGAATAAACCATCTTTTTTCTTTCTAGTAATGACGTGAAAATAAAGACAAGTGCCGTATTCTTAATTCTAATAAAATATGTATGCGCATAGCACACCTGTCCTATACGACTAATGAAAACCACATACCTGCTACCGTCTCAATCCTCAATAGGCCCGCTACCCTTTGTTCCTAAAAACAACCAATTCGATTTTCTTCTCCGTCGCCATACCTTTATCCGTCACCCAGATCACTGAACTATGAAGTATCCTTCCATATAAAATTCCTATTCCCGAAATTTCGGGATCGCCGTGATTTGAGTAAACATTGATCACAATGAGCCAGTACAGAGTTGATCCGTTTAACCGCTGTTCAGTACTTATGAAAGAAAGAAGGCCTTCGCTGCGGATTTATTTATTAGGAAATGCCAACTGACCGGTTACAGACCATTGAACAGGGATGCAAAACTCTAATCTGCATCTTAGTTACAAAAACTGGACACCGATCTTCTCCCGAACGAGTCTTCTTGAACCTTCCTGGAGATTCATTGACTCCACTCATTCGTCGGTCAAATCCAACCAAATGTTACAAAGTGGCTCCACGAATTCCGCAACAGATCTCCCTTTTTCAATACACGGAAAGCGAAATTCTACGAACAACACATACTACTCGCGTGCCTCCCATCAGTAGTATCACCGTTACACTAGTATTCACCGTAAGCAACTGTCAACAATCTGTATTTTCATCCTCCAAGCGTCGCAAAGCAATATTCACTCCTCCAGGCGAGTTTCATTGTTCGGGAGTTCAAGTGAAAGGCTGTCTCATCGGATGGATTGGTCCCCAATAAGAAAAGGGCGATTCGGAGTGATTTTCCTTAGGCAGAAGACTTACAGGAACCGTAGAAATCGACCACATCCCTCAGCGAGGAGACTTCCCTCCCCAAATAGGATTTATTTTTCTTAACAAGGACTACAGAACAAACCAACTGATCATGAGTTTTTCATCCATACTTTCGATGTTTGCCGGGCTTGTTTGAAGTGTTTTACTTCCTGGCCTAAGTGGCCGAAAAAATATGCGCATACACTGAGCTGCATTGGTTACTGCTGTAATATTGTGATTACGGCCAGGTCGATACATCTTATCATCTTGCCTGATTGACGCCAACCAGCATAGAACCACAATCTGTCAGCCAGGTTGATAGATGTGCACACACTTGATGGATTTCTAATCGGGGAACGTTTGCCTGACCACAAAGACTTCACTTAGTGATGCCGTACTGCTTTCCATTAAACGCATACGGATAAGAGCTACAGTTATGCATTCCAAAACCAGTCTGATATTCCACAACTGGCGGTTTTTGTTAAGGTTCATAACCAGTTATTCGGCTAACTAAGCAAGTGTGGATGAATATGAGGTATGAAAACATGACTAATTCGAAGATAAGTCACCTATCTCCATCCACATAGAAAAGAAAGCGTTGTCAGCGAGCCAACTTAGTTCCGAGTGCAACTCAGCGCCAGACATAAGCGCATATGTGCAATCCAAAAAGGTTCAGACATCTGTGTACATTTCACATAATGCTTGTTCATGAGAGAAGCCTACACATATCTTGTACCTATTGAGAGGTACATCATATCATTCGATTAGTGATGCTACCATGATGTACTGAAACAAGTCATATCAAGTCATATCTGGAAGTTATGAAGACAGTATGAAATGTCTGCTAGGCAGACCTGTTTTCAAACACTATTCCGTGCGGAATGACTTCTCGTAAGGGTTACTAAAGTAAAGGGCAGTGGTACAAAAATCGTTTTCCCGTGTGATAATTTCTTTCCAAAGGGGCTCTTTTGCAGGAAATCAGTCCCGGTACTTGCAACACAGCACCAACTTCAGGCTATGCCTAAAAGATTGATTGCACAATTGACACTAGATCCTTCCTAATCAAAAGGCCGAACTAACTAGACTAACTGGTTGGATGTGGTTAAACAATCGCAATCAAATTAAACTTAGTGCAGTTTCCAGAACACTTCATGTGTGACTTCCATATTAGAAACGGTGTTTGCGATTCTATGGTCTGGTGGTTTAGACCAAAAGTTACTTCGGGGAAACTATTCTGTTCACGCACAGATAATGCCTCCCACTCATTTGTAGCACTGGATAACTAAACAAGTATATAAGTAATCTGGTTTGTGAGCCGGTTACGTTAGCGCGGATATGCACGGATTCAGGGCCAGGAGTGCGTCGAACAAATCTTCAGCGAGTTCGGAGCATGCTAACCGAAACGAATAACAATGGTTAGACCAAGCTACTAACAAGCGATAAGTAGGAAGAAATCGCCCAAATTCCCGTGATCGATGCAAATGGCAGTGTTGAGGTGAGGTAGTGTTGACATAGACTCGAGGGCACGCGACCAGAAAACCATTGGCTTAATGCACAGTACTTGAGTATTTCCGTGCTGCAAGAATACAGTTTTGCAAAATGGCGCCTATATAGGGATTACGGATTTGCGATGAAAACACCCATCATTACTAGTACGATTGACGAGAGTGCACAGGAGAGCTCCACGAACATGACAATGAAACTGAGGGACTGTATGAATGAATCACCAGGCCATCCGGAGAAACAAATCAAAAAGATCCAAAATTACGTGCAATATAATAAAGGTCTGTCGGGACGAAACGATACGGTTAGTATTGACATGGTCATTGACAGCAGTAAACCAGCAATGCATAATGGTGTTTGCCTGGAAAAAAAACAGTACAGTATGCAGCAGTCAACCAAACTTCTCACCTGGAATTCGAACACGCGCTTCGCACCACATGCTTCACAGTTCGGTATATCTGGTGGAGTTTCGGATAACCAAAAAGGAGTACCCCCACGTTCTAGCCGGATCACCTGCAAGCCGAGAAGATTGGGAACTTAGGAGGGTCCGTAGACGTTCGCCATTATGGTTGATTGTACTTAAAGGGGAAAGAACGTTTAGTTCGGGCCAGGCACAACGACTAGCAGTAAGTTCGAAACATGAGGGTACCCGCATTTTCTAACGGGCATGCATTAGGAAGGCCCCAGGAATTCCTATGGAACGAGCCTTCTGTTGCGTTCTGCACAAGCCCTTCACTCTCTTTCAGGTCTGTAATTTTCGGGAGCAATAGCAAACCTCTAACACACAAACGGCACCCGATGTGCATAGCATTCTAACCAAAGTTGGCGGACAGAATGCAGTTATACCAGCTTTTGGAACGGTATAGTGGGTGTTTTTCTGTCCGACCGAGGCGGACCTAAACTATATCTCATATAAATATATAACTCTGAAGAATTGCAATAATTATAAAAGGTTATGTTGGCACGGTCATCGTGGCTGAGGTCGACGTGCCACTCTTTCTCACCAACAGGATGTGTCGGGGCCGAATGAAGTCAGACGGACTATGTGAACCAAATTCAAGCGACGGTTTCGAATAGAATCGAATTTCGGATATCCCGAAGTCTTGTGCCTGTTCGCTAAGCTCCAGCAGCACCCCAACTAGGTAGAAGAAACGAATGTTCAAACCGAACATCTACGAGCAGGAGCGAGACGCACCACATAGCTTGGGTCGGAGGCTACAAAAGAATACACCACATACTACTGAGTTACCAAGCGAGGATTACTAAACGCCGTTGTCATCCTCCTCTATCACACGATTACTTGAACGATACATCTGGAGTACGAAAAAGATTCACCACCATTAGATGTCCTATCCATGTACTTAGACGGTTTCTGGTCTGGACTATCGAAGAAACCAAACAAGCAATATTATGGACAAACACCCGCCGACAATGCGAAGTCTACAACCCAACACAGAACGATATAAAATTAAGCTGACGCGGTAAATCTTTTTTCAAATTTTGGCTGACCATTGTATTTGTGGTAAGAATAAATAACCGTTCAGCTGTAACAGCCTTTCGGTGTCCGGCTAACGCGCCACATGGAGGAAGCACGAGGGACGAGATATTTCCAGGTCAACCAAGCCTTAACAAGAGCAGCTGAGGGGAAGAGGTTGGGCTCTAACCACGGACCTTTCGATCAGCAAGTTCGCTCCTTAAGCAAATGTAAGCAGCTAGCCATTAGAGGAGCTCATCAGCTGATAAGATCGGAAACTTCTAGATTTTCATAACACTGTCCACAAGCTGTTAAGCTGCATGATTTTCTCTGGACATAACAATTAAGTTAGTCAATTTCATGAGTTCAGAGGGGCTATTCCAGGAGCCCAGTTTACTGGTCTTTGACACGGCAGGTGAGGGGACCTTTCACAGGGTAACTGGCTCAATAGTCTGGCCTACTTGGTTGTGAAAGCTGAGCAAGTTTCAGAAGACAGTATAAGGTACAAAGTCGGATATGTGGGTCGACTTCGCATAACGTTTGTTTGGAACTGCACTGAAAGAGATTTAGTGGTTATGTGACCATATTAGACAGTCCACCGATGGCCACTGTTAACAGTTTGGCGACCGGAGTGCGGAGTTTCTGAGGCCGAGCTTTTCCTACCCATCCTCTCCCCGGAAAAGGTAACACAGCTTCTTACAGAAGCACGGGACTGTTGGCTAGCTGGAGGAGCCAGTCACTGGCTTGTGTGGTGCGGATTCATTGTTTATTTTAAGCAAACGTCGCCTCGTTCATAAATGGGTTACTGCGGGCCTTCTTCAGCTAACTGCTTGTCTGGGGCAGTGGCTGCGGCTGAAGCCCAGCGTTCGTCCCACGAGTATATCTTTTCGGAGGCTGTGCACACTTTGCAGAACCTCAGGCAGAATGGACGCCACACTCTGTTATAATAGGGGGCGGGCAACGTATCGCCTGGCCTGTGGGTAAGCCGGTTCTCAGAGGACTTTTCTTGTGATGTTCGTTTTGCTCCTGGGTCGTCTATTCCTCGGAACATCTCAGAAAGAAAGTAAAACCTGGTATTAACAGGTAGATGATTGTAACAAGTACGCAAATGGCAGTCGCTTAAAGATACGTATCAGACGCAGCCACGAATGACCATGGGAAAAAATGACTCACTTGATCTGGCTCCGAACTCATCAAGTCTTTGAACTTTCGAAACCGAGCTTCGGCTTTTGTTTCACGTTTAGCTACAGATTCCAGTTCTTTGAACTCTCTAAATTGACAGACGATAAAAGTGTGAAGGTTAGCTTAAAGTTACACGAAACATCCGTGATTTAACTTGAGACCTAAATATGTCAAAGATAAACTCATTGCCTGTAAAAGACAGAAAGGTACCAAATACCTAAATGAAGAGCAGAAGGTAAAACTCTCTTTGCTTATCGAGTACTTGTTGCCTGTTGGTTAGTGTGGTCGTCATTCAAAGTGGTATGAGAGCTATGGATCTCGACTCTATTGTGAGGTCCCATTCTGAGCACCGCTTTATTCCTCACAACAAGGTTTGGTGAAGAGGGTTCACAAGGAATCAAATGGCAAGCAAAGACAGACTGGCATAGCTTATGGAGTGTCACCGGTCAAACTGTCAAGAGACGATAATTCGTCACAAAAACCATCTAGTGTACCTCAGCATTATTGCTGTTATGTTACCACCGATGATCAAACACAGGATATACATATATCCGCCGGCAGCGGCAACAATTCTGATCCATAAAGTTGGATACATCACCCTGAAGTAGTGTGCACCATACTGTTGGCAGATAAAGTGATGCCACCACGAAATTTCGTAAATGTCGCTCTGGCCATTGCGAAATGATTTCATCTTTCAGGTCTTCCATGATTTATGCAGATGTTCAAATAGATGACTTTGTCTAAAACATCGGCGCGTTCATCTGCAAGCACGGGTTTTGGGTTTCAACCAGCAGTGCAATAACACTTTGCACCCTCCAGGTGTGCAGAGGACGCCGATCCGTACGGCAGAAGCATTCAGATTATCTAAAACAGGTCGAAATCCTGATGGGCCTAATCCGCCATGAGTGATGTTGTCAGAATTTTTATGATCAGTCAACGAAAACCCCGAAAGAATTTCGATCCGAGGTTTTGGTGAGAGGTAAAGGTTCACGTAGCACATCGGCAATTAAATTGAAGAGGAATTGTGAGACAAGGTAGTACTGCAAGACACCACTGTGTGTCATGATCTCACATGAAAACATACACACACACACACGGGAACGGTCACAGAAATCGAAAAAGGACACCAATCATCACCAGGCTGTCACAGTTTCCCAAGATTGACAGAGTTAAGAGTGGATTTCATTCTGGGAAAACCAGCAGTGTTGGTTTATAGGGGAAACGGCCCGATTCGAGCATTTCGCGCAAAATGAAGATATGATCCATGTAATCTCGGCCATGGGGAAAGCCTGATTTTCACGAATCTGACTCGTCTGCGGATGACAGACCAATCCACACTGGGTAATACCAGAGATGGTTTTGGAGACTATGGCAATCACACTGATGTTCCTATGATTTTCGCAAGACGCTATCTTTGGAAACTCGAAAGTACAACAAAGTGCTCCATTTCAACAGTATTCTAACTTAATACTTTGAAATGGCTGGAAAACCCTCGACAATGCACGACCGAAACCGTCCTTCTTGGGGTTCACAAATTCAAGTTGCAAATAAGTACATATCGCCAACTGCGTACATTGTGGTATTAACGGAAATTCGGGGACCACCTCCACCTGATGAGCCCAAAGGACGAAAAAAAGTTTGGGTTACCGAAGGGTTTTCAGCAACCGTATGAGTGCTACGTTCCGTCAAGGAAATACACCACAAGTTGTCGAATAGTGTCAGCTGGGACGAGGCGGCCTGTGTACATCAGATTCAGTCGAAAAATAAGATAAAAGAGTCAGCTAGGATTCAGACAAATCTACTCACAAAAATACAGAGCTTTCCCCTTAACACCTGCATGGTAGAGAGACAAAAGGCCGACATACTTAAAGTGTTTTCGGACGGTGTACAGAAAACACAAGTCACTCACTCGTCCCCCTGGTCGCTCGACACATCTGACTCACTGTCTTCAGAATCCTGCACCACAGCAGCCGGCTCATCAGCTGGTTCAGAGCACACTCTGAACTCAGGAAGGAGAAAGTCATTTCCATCGAACCGAGGTTCCTGCTGTGCCTCGGGAGCCTTGGAAGAGCAGTCAATTTTGTGATACGACTTCCAATGCATCAGCTGACAGAAAAGCTAGAAAAACAGAAGTGGCATACCTGATGGTGTTTGGAGCAATACTTTATACGTTTGCACCGAGAACACAGCTTGTCAGCCTTACATCCACAAACGGGACATATATGATTATACCGCTCGGCACAAGGAAAGCTACCAGCCTTGATCAGTGCCTGTACGGTATCCAATGAAGGGTATTCCGTTTCAGGTGGCTGAAAGCTGTACTGGGCTGAGCATCAACACGTCCGTGCCTACCTGTAATAAGGATTCTGACGACCAAGTTGCGATCGGAAAACAGCAAACGGAACGCCAATTTCAGTCTGCTTGTGACACGGTCCATTCCGACACATAAACAGGAAGAGTGAACGATGAAAGCAGTCAGTTCTCTCGTCAATCGTCGAGTAGACCTGAGATATGCTGTAACCTCAACTAGGAGTCGAATATCACACTCACCTGTAGAAGAAATGGCATCGGAGTGGCACAAATCGGGCAAGCGAGTTGTGATGGGGAAGGCAAATGTTGCAGAGCAAGCCATGCAGGCCTGCCGCCAATTTTGTCCGGGAAAAGGTTGGATGTCAAGTGCCAGGGTGAGGCCGAAGATACAAAGCCGAGGGCTAAACCAGAGGTCATCTGAAATACCAACGAATCCAGGGCTTGAAACGCCATCCCACACACTAAAGTACATTCTCTGTGGAAAAAACGACGGTAGTGCAACGATTGTTGAAGCTTTACAACCTACTCAGCAATACTACGGACATCCCCGATGCAACTTGGAAGACCACCAACTGTACACCATGAGTCGACGAATGAAATTCTAAGGAGTACACCTTCCTGGTCTTATGGTTTAGGAGTGACTATAAACGTAAGCGCGAGCAGTGATCGTCCTCCCTCGAGATAACAGTAGTCTACTCCAGCCTATTGAGTCCGTCCCACAGCCAAGTTCCAGAATAAAACGTCATCTTAGAGGCCTGAGTCATCCCCCGATTTTGAGTTCGAACCCTGGATAGTATCCAGGATCAGGTGAACCGGCGAAGCTTACAAGCGAGGGTTGTCTGATCAATTCCACAGTCAGCAAGTACTTTTATCCGGAGCTCGAGAGAGCTCAGAGTTTAAGGCACGAAGTCATCAACGGAAGGTCCGTGGTTCGAACCAAACCCCGGCATTTTGACTGCTCCCGTCTAAGTTTGGGCGACCTAGCAATATCTCATCTCTTGTACATTTTTTCGCGCGACATGGTAGCTAAAGACTGAAAAGGCGCTACAGCTAAACGATTATTGTCAGCAATACTATTGTTATTTATCTGGTACAAACAAGATGAAGGGTGAACAAAAACACGATAGTCCTTATTTTGCTTAAAGCTAAACGATTCAGCAATACTATTGTTATTTATCTGGTACAAACAAGATGAAGGGTGAACAAAAACACGATAGTCCTTATTTTGCTTAAATTACTCTTACCCCCTTTTCTACTTGTATCCTCCTGATAACTGCAGACTTATGTCATGTGTGCCATAGGAAAACCTAAAATAGGTGCAGCCGATAAGCTGGTTTGTACTTTGTGGTCTTTGATGGGATAATTGTGTTGACCTAGGTGTTCAAGTGACCGGAAGCAGCATCTGTTTGATGCACCAAATGCCACAAAAGTTGCGTGATAGAATTAGTCAGCCTGTCAGTTACTTCCGATAAATTTCGCAACTACAGTAGAGTGGTTTCAGCTGCTACAGATCCGTTTACCGAGGATATGGATGAGAAAATGACAGTCACGCGTTGGAGACGATCAGCTGATTGGGGTTAGATTGAATTTTTATGAGGTTTGAGAGATATTGAGAAAGTTACTCATTGAAGTCAACAGTATTGATGTTGGTGGCTCACCTCTGGGTGCGTGACATAGCCATATGTGTTATGGTTACTGACTATTGATTTGTCCCCATAGGAGGATGTGGCAGCTTCCAATACGACTGAGTTGACTGATAAGCACTTTCATGCTTCATTGCCAAATCGTTGACTGATCGCCCCCGGGCTGTTTCTGTCTGATACACGGCTGACCCAAGAGGGTTTGGCGAGACAAACAATCTTCTAGTATATGAAGTACGTGGTTTAACCGGCGTAACCTATGGAACGACGCAGTTCCCACACATATAAAGACTTGTACTGCTTTTTGACAATGGGTCAGCTACATGGGTGTCAGAAAGTTGAGCTCTCCGTGCGCCACTCAACAGTTCGTGTGTCAGGCACTAAATCCGCACCTTCCTGGAATACCATATCATGAAGAGATATAGAGGTAACGAACACTGTAACGGAGCCTCATTGGAGTCGATCCAAAAGTCCTTAGCAGCATTACGGCTTTTTATGTGTGCCGTAAACATCCAAGGAGGACGAAGGAAGTCGAAGGAAGTCACAGAACATAATCGTTAGCTGACTAGGTAAAAAAGTGTAGCTGTGACACTCTCGGTGCATGACTTTTATCACACCAGGTGGAAGCACAGGGACTGAGATACTGCCAGGTTGTATGATCGCAAACAAGAGTGGTCGAAAAGCCAGGGCTGCAGTCGAACCATAGAGTATCTGGTTGGTAGTTCCGTACCCTAGCTCGGTAGTCGTCTCGAGCTGGCAGAACTGACATCAGGCCCGTTGAATCCAAAACTGTACACCTTTTATCCAGTCCACAAAAGTCCTCCTCAGATGACCATCATTAGGTGCCACAGAGTGAGAGCACTTCACAAGAGATCCCGAGTGTGGGTGACGTTGCTGAGCTCCACCACTCTGGGTTGCCTCTGGCAAAAACCGGCCCGTATAGCTACTTTCACGCAACGAAAATGGAGGGCTGTTAACCGAGGGCACAAAGTAGAAAATTCAACACATCACTAAACCATTCTGACCCTCATATAAGAAACTTATACACAGCGAAAACAGGGCCTTAAGGCATTAACTGGGGACCGTCTAGACAAGCAGGTTTTGGTTCTGCTGTCAATCACAAGGAAAACAGAAAAGCTCCAGGAGAGTCCGCACTGCCTATCCGTAATTATGTCATTACGGCACACTCTTCTATTTCCTTTGAGAAGCGGATTCTGTCGCTTCTGTGTGATTGAGATATCGCGAGTTTGCTCTCAGTCCCCAAGTCACAAAACAGAAACCTCCAGCGTAGAAGTAATAAACCATGTATCAATAGTACTTTGATTCAGGCTGCTTCAGCATGCCTAGCTGTCATGCCATCCAAAGGAAATACGAAAGCTGCAATACTGCTAGGTCGTCCAAGCCTACACAGGAGAGGTCGAGAGGCAGAGACCGGGTTTGAACCACGGACCTTCTGGTCAGTAAATTCGCGCTCTAACCACTAAGCCATCCGGCCCCTGCTGTGAGTTACAAAACGATCGCCATGAAATCTCACCCTCATACACCGGAAGGAGAAGAATTCATACTAACCGATGTAGGCCGCATGCTCCCCGATGGTATAATCAAAGCATCGAATTCCCCATAGATGCACAAGTCCTCCTAACGCGTAATGCGAACCACAAAAGACGCATGGTCATAGACTAGAGCCAGATCATCAATCGCTTCACCTGGCTTGGCGCTTATCCTTTACCAAGACTGTATCAAATGACTGAAACCATCGCACGCTATACCACCTACAGTAACTTGGATCTACAGAGTGTATATCATCAGGTTCCAATAATCGAGTCAGATAAACCGTCTATTGCATTCGGATTCGGTGGAAATCTACATCAGTTTTGACTAATTCCTTTTCAAGTAATAAACAGGGTTGTGTGTTTCCAACGAGCGTTAAACAATATCGTTAAAACCTAACAGGTAAAAAACACTTGACTACATTGATAAAGTTACCGTATGCGGTAAAAACGGGAGATGAACATGACCATAATCCTAGGCATTTTCTCGATGTCACTACAACATAAATTACTTTTAACGACAAATACAGCAGCTTCGCAAATGAAGAGGTTACTCTTCTGCGTTACAAGAACTCCAAAGGTATTATAAAACCTGACCCAGAGAGTACGCACCCTATAAGAGAACTGCCAATTCCACAGAACGGAAAATTGCAGCAAAGAGCCATTGGTCTGTTCGTCTACTACTCAAAGTGGATACCGGCGTTTTCTGGAAAAATTCATCCTTTGGTTAAAAACAAAATATTTTCGTTTCCGGATGGTGTAACAACATTTGAGAATCCTAATGATTATTGGAGAATGCGGTCGTTACCTCGACTACAACATCCCTCGAAACTGATGCGTTCGACATCACTATTGATACATCCATGAGCCAAGGTAACCGGCCGATCGCCATTCTCTCCAAGGCCTTGACTGCAAGCAAGAAAAAATTATTGTGCTGTCGAAAAAGAAGCATACGCTATCGTCGAAGCGATCCGCAAATGGTACCATTATCTCCTCGGAAGACATTTTAAACTTATTGCAGATCTACGTTCGGTTGCTTTTATGTATGACAACCAACAAAAGAGTAAAATACAAAATGACAAAACTGAACGGTGGAAAATCAATTTGGCAGGGTGCAACTACGGTGTCGTCTATAGACCAAGAACGCACAATCGCGTTGCTAATGCCCTATCTTGTAACCTTCACTGGGACCGAGAACTTGAAGAACTTCGCAATACATTATACCATCCCGGGGTCACGAGGTTTGCATCCTAACTTCGTTTTAAGAACCTTCCTTTTTAGTCAACCATATCGGACGTGTGGTTTGACTGTTCCACATGATCTGGACTCTTTCCGAAATTTTGTGACACTTTTCATGGTCATCTTCTCAAAGCCACACAACCACCTTAGTAATAACTTTAAAGGGCAACTTCCCTCAAACACTCGTAATAAGTAGTTCTTGGCAATCGTTGACGAGTATTCTGGATTCTTGCCCGATGCCCTCTTTCACTGTGATTCTTTGTTTGAGTCAACTGTTTTTAATGTTTGGTATGCCTGCTTACATTCACTCAGATCACGGTTTAGCATTAATGTCATTTGAACTCAAACAGTTTTGTTCGATAAAGGCGCTGCCACTAGTCACACTGTTGCATATAATCAAGTGTCATGGTCAGGTTGAACGACTTAATGGTACTCTTTGTCTCTAAAATCAAGCTAGCCTGTCATACATTCCGAGGTTGTCCTTCTTGATGATCTTCACTGTATCAAATGCCCATCACGTACTAGTACCAACTGTACCCCATATAAACGCTTCTTGACGTTCACACGACGATCGGGAAACGGTGTCTCCCTGCCTACCTTGCTTATTGTCCTTGAGCCGATCCCTTTAAAACGCAATGATCGAGCATCTGAATATGACCCTCTGCTAGAGGAATCGTTCAGCTGTAGTACCATTTCAGTGTCTAATTCCCACGCCACCAGAAAGAAGCACGAGGGCTGGGATACTGCCAAGTTGCCCAAGCCTAGACAGGGGAAGTCGAGAGGTAGAGGGCTGGTTCGAACCACAGACCTTCCGGTCGGTAGATTCGCACTCTGACCACTTGGACTATCTCACCTCCTCTGATAGAGGAAGTGGATCTCGTCTCTTGTAACCCATAGTAGTTCGTCCAGATGGCAAACACGAAACTGTATCCTTACGCCGTTTGGCTCCTAAAGGCAACGGCATGACAACCGACACTTCCGACACAGAACTAGAACCAATACCAATATCGCCAGACAAGAAGGACTTCACCCGACACCAGCAAAAACTGAAATCTTGCCTGTTAACGATGCCTCACCATTCCATTTTAGTGCAGACCCAGGAAACCACTTGGACATTCTTATGCGACAACAGCGCAGTCACCCATATAATCTGTGCAACAGCGAGGCATAAACGACTCAAAGCAATCGACAGCTTTTATTCTTACACTCGTTGGCCGCAAAAGTACACACTACGAAAATGAGCCGCTTGGGCTCACCAACAAAAGCAATACCACCTGGTGATTCGACGCACTGAAACGACTCACAGAGGTGGCAAAAAGTATCACAGAGGAACAAGAAGTTGGAACCACCAGGGCAGGAAGTATACCAGTGCGATGCAGAGGTCCCTTCGAAGCCTTCAAATCGAAGCCAGTGTAGAACCACTAACTCTGTTGACATATCTGGTGGAACAAAACTAACTCGATCCTGAACTTCGGATGAAACAGTAATTGTGATTAAAATGCTTGTCCACAAAATGCCTGCCTTTTCAAAAAACCTTTCCAATTTTTCAAAAGTTGGCTCGCATTGAGCGACCATCCACGAACGCACTTACAGAGACCTAGATCATACCAGGTGCATTCGATGCTGAGATCCCGGTAGAAGGCTACTTTCCTTTTTGGGGATGTCTCAAAACGTAGGATGGTGGGTGGCTTGCTTTTTACTTAAACACAACTCCGCTCACTTCATTTGTCCTCTCTGACGCCAATTATGCACCACTTTGTGAAGCATCATGGACTGTTCTCTTAGGCGTCATTTATCATTGCTTCGAGTTCGCCGGAAGAAGACTTTTCTTCATACAAACCCTTGAGAAACTCTCCTCTAGCTACGCCTTCACGAGTCTTTTTGCTGGTAGGTAACTTTAAAGTTCCCAAGCCTATTTTATGGAGCTCCAGGACAGTTTGCACGGGCCCTCCTTCCAATCAAGCAACAAACCGCTTATGCTAAGCATGTCGACGCATCCAAAAGATATCGCGCAGGCCAATTACCATCCCTATTGGATCTGGTCACCACGGATAAATTAGGCCTCCTCCGGGACACCGCAACCGTTGTGTGCTGGTTTTTGACTTTATTCACTACTGAGGCAGGAGCCTTGAAACTCAAACATGCATTCAGAAATTCTGCCGCCTAGGATTCTTAGGAATGCGTATAATTCACCTGCTTAAACTGGAAGGAGTTTCATTTGGGACATGATGAACCATTGTCCACAAAATTCATGAAACCGATGAAGTGTTCGTGGGAACCAGAGCTCAATCGAACAAAGGCTGTCCAGAAAAACTCAGCATATTCTGGAAATTAGTTCAAAGCTACTGCTGAAAAAAAAGATAACTACGGGAGACTCAAATCGGAGATCCACCAATTGGACTGACGGAAGCATGCCAGTCTCGACCGAAAAAAAAGTACTATTTAAGTAAATGAGACGCCGCCCAAACAAGACAACAACCGTCTCAATGAGGGACAGAAAACGGATCCACAGGCAACCAAATAGTAATTACTGATGTCCACACACAACACTGCAAGCCCGTTATCTGCCCCAGCAACTTCATCATATCCAACGCTGGCAAGACGAAACTATGATCAGCTTCTAACTAACTTGTCACGCAGGATATTCGTGAACGCTCCCGCAAAACAAGGCCTTCCAGCGCGCTGTGCCAGATGCTGAGCATCCGAATATGCCGAAACATCGTTCAGCTTGGCAAAACATTCAAATATGAGGTTTCGTTAGTCGCTCCACTAAGGTAAATTCCATTCCACATAGCTAGTGACCACTTGTCATCCAGCAGCTACAGCCCGTTATGCCTTACAAGATAAAAGATGATCAGAATCAGAATCAGAGCTAGTGACTGTCATCCAGCAGCTATAGCCCGTTATGCCTTACAAGATAAAAGATGATCAGAATCAGAATCAGAATCAGAATCATATATATATTTCAAAAGAAAAAATTCTGTGTACACTCCATCGAGAGAAAAAATGCGAATATCATTCCATATACGCCCTTGGTCCGTTAGTGGAGTAGCTGACTTTCGGGACCAGAGCGGAGGAGATATCCTCACAGAAGCATAGATCAGATAAATGTTCATCTAAATTACGTTTGAAAATTTGAACTGTTTCTGACTGAACGAATTCCAAAATGACAACGCGGCGAGAGAAACTGTACCCATGAGGCACATTGTCCATGCGTGTGACAGTAAGTTTAAATCGATGTCCTCGGGTGATGTTGGTTGTTGGAATGTCAAACAAGAACATCAACTGCGGAAAATGGTTTAGGCACAAAACACGGAAAACATAGATGAGATCAATCCGGAGACGTCTGTATTCAAGTGTGAACAATTTCAGTTTTCTGCATCTCTCAGAATAAGAAAGACTCCGCAGACTGGGAACCATCTTTGTAACGAGGTGTTGGACACGTTCGAGCTTTCGGGCTTCGTCTTTCGTAAGTGGGGAGAAAGCTGGAGCACCATATTCCAATATAGGCCGGATCATGGTGGGATACAGTTTTAAAACTAACTCTTCCGTCCACATCGAAAAACTTCGCTTCAATGTCCACAAAATGCGAAGAGACTTCTTATACACAGCGCTCGTGTGGTCCTTCGACTTTAAATCATAACGGATTTGAACGCCCAAGTCTCGGATTGATGAGACCGATTTCAATTTTTGGCCATTTAGATGATATACACGATCTGAAGTTGGCTTTCCCAGGCATATATATTCTGATTTGGCCGGGTTGATCGGAAGCCTCCTTTCAGAGGACCACGCCACCAGACGTTCTAAGTCATGCTGAAGAGCCACTCGGTCTTCGTCACACTCAATAGGTTTCCATATCTTAAGATCATCAGCGAATAACAGACTTGCCGACTGTAGGACCCCTGGTAGATCATTCACATGTAGTAGAAACAGAACTGGACCCAAAACCGTTCCCTGAGGTACGCCACTAGGTGACGTATACCAGTCTGTACAGTGGTCGTTTACTCTCACCTTCCAGCGTCGGTCATGCAGGAACGATTTGAGCCAACGAAGTAAATCCCCTCCTATGCCGTAGCCCTGCAGTTTTTTTATCAGTTCAGTGTGGTCTACCCTATCGAACGCCTTACTAAAGTCCACGAATATAACATCAACAGCATGCCCAGCGTCAACAGCGGCTAACCAGTGATGACGAGCAGTGAGCATGTTGGTCACACAAGAACGGCCGCGAAGAAAACCGTGTTGTGCCGGCGTAAGAATTTGAAATTCATCCAGCATATGCAACAGAGCCTGCTTCACGATCTTTTCCAGAACCTTAGCGAGTATGGGAGTAAGGCAGATTGGACGGTAATTTGTGACTCGAGAAAGATCTCCGCCTTTGGGGAACGGCCGAACAACTGAATCTTTCCATTCCTGAGGCAACACGCCTTCTGCAAGGGATTTATTGTATAGAGTCGTGACTGCAGGTGCAATGACTGGTGCTAATGTCTTCAAAATTACGGGATGGAGGTCATCAGGACCGGCGGACTTTGCCGTATTGAGCGACAGAAGCAGAGAACACACCTTTTCGGTGCAACACACCAACGAATCCAATCTAACCGCGCAGGAACCAGTAAGACTGTCTCTTGAGGGGTTTGTGGCATATACAGAAGAAAAGTGGCAGGCAAACTCAGTGGCCCTCGCGGAGTCTGAGGTGATGGTATTGCCATCTTGATCTTGTATGTACGGTAGCTCATCAGAGGATTTGAGATTTCTGTTGACATAAGCAAAAATCCTTTTGGGCGTTGTTTTGGCCGATTCGGCGAGAGAGTTTTCATAAGCTTGGCGTTTTCTCAATTTCGTAAAATTGCATGAATTTCGCTGCTGCTTATAAGTTGCATAATCCACGGGATCACGAGACTGTCTATAACGGTTCCACAGTTTTCGGCGGCGTTTGGTCAACGTTACAAGCTCGCGATCGAACCAGGGTGGGCGACATCGATTTGATTTGCAATGTCGAACAGGCGTATATAGGTCGCATAGCCATGATATTTTGTCTTTAAGAGAAAGCCAACATGTATCAACGGATCCTTCTGTTGGTAGTGTCCAATCCATCGAATTAGCCGCAATTAATAACGCATCAAAGTCTGTTTTCCAAACATTTCTCTGGGGTAATCGCGGTGGAGTGCGATGATGTGGAAGCCTAAGATATGCAAACAATGTCATATGATCACTAGTGCCCAGTGGTTCAGAAACTGATAAATAATCCAATCTTTGCTCGGCTTGAGTAAATAGTAAATCTAGGCAGGAAGGAATCTGATAAGGCAGAGACCGCGTCGGTTGATGCACATGCTGTATCAATCCCATTTCTAGCACCGTATTGAGAAATGTGGTTTCCAAGTCGGTACAACCAGGGAGGGCCGTATAGCTGGACCAATTTACACGGGGAAAATTGAAGTCACCCATAAGTAGCACGTTTCGGGCGCATAGATTATTCTTAGCTCGTGTAATCCAGTCGGAAGAGATATTAGCTGGACTTCTGTAAAGCACTCCCACGTGAAAATTGCCTTTGGTCGTGATGATTTCGCACCAAATTTGTTCACAGTAACAATCATTACTCAAATAAGTGTTTTGTAACCGGCAACGTATGTCCGACTTCACATAGAGGAGCACCCCACCATGAAGCCGCTGCTGACGATCGCAACGAAAATGCTCATAGCCAGGGAGTTTTATCTCTTGATCGAGGACAGTCAAATCCAACCAGGTTTCTGCAACACCAAGAATGTCAGGATTTACATCAGAAACCCACTGCCGCAGATCATCTTGTTTCGATAAAAGGCTGCGTACGTTCATAAAAGCTACACGCAAGCCAGCGAATGACTCTGGCTGCGCGCTGTTAAGGTGACCGGGCGGTTTATGAATGCACGCCATTTGACTATTCGAAAATTTACGATACGTAGATCATTTTCACCTTCAAGAGTGCGCCTTCGAAGTTCCACGACAGCGGCTTTGAGCTGAGCTCGCTGAGATGGATCCATATCTGGTCTGATGTAAATATCCATACCTTTAAGTCTCCATGCGCGAGAAAGTAAGTGCTTGGGAGCGTCTGCATTTTCGAATACAATTTTTAGCGGTCGGTGGATGCCCGCAACTCGTTTTCCTAATCGTAAAATTCGTCGAACTCGAATTCCTGGTTCATCAGCATCGGCTAGTTTATCAACAAGTCCCTGGAGCAGATTCAGATCATGGTTGTATCTAGCCTGTGCGCCTTCTTCACCAGCTTCTTTCGATCCAAACAGCATGAAGCAATGATCGCGTGGAAACTTGAGTGTTTCTCGGTTTCCTGAAACAGTTGGTTGGATCGCGCTTGCGGAGCTGACAGGTAAACTTTCAACGACCTCATGGTCATGAGCTGGCGGCCGGGTTTTCATACGATGTCTCCGTTTCGTTGATAACCAAGGTGATTGCGTATTCTGTTTATCAGTACAATCGGATGACCTCATGGGGGCATTAAGAGTTACTGAAGGTTCCACAGAGTTGACATCTGGAACGTTCCGAACAAGACTGTCTTGCAGGTCGCTAGATGGCGCTGGTGCATATCGCTTCGATTTCTTCGACTTCTGTTTCTTCCTTAAAGGTGATGTGGAGATAGATTTGCATCTAGTACACGTAAATGATAAGTTATCGCTGGGATGAGCCAGGAGAGCAGCATAGATGGATGAGTGAATGTGGGAACACTCTATGTGCTCCCAAGTTGCACAAATATCACATTTCAAAGCTTTGTCGGAGTCCGAAACGGGCAGATCACAATTTGAGCACAAGGATGACACATCACAGATGGTATCCATATCTACGCAGCCCAAACTGACCATCAAAGTGAGCTATATCCGAAATCAAAATGCGAACCAACACCACGAGCTTAATTGCAACACCTTTCGCAGCCATGCCACCGGAAGGAAGAACGAGGAGAGACAAACGGCTTTGTTGTGCATGGCTAGAACGTACCAGAAAGGTACTGTAGAGCTAGATACCAAAGAGAACTCAGATATCTAGCTCAGTTCAAGCGCGTTTTTCTCCATTATAAAAAGTGGCTCGAAAGGTATTTGCTGTTACTCGGACGATTCGGTGGAATTTCACCCCATTCACTTGCATGGACTTGAAGATACCCCATTGAACCCACGTCAGATCACTCCCGGAGTACGTTAGTCAAGTTGAGCTAGGCGGAATCCCACACGGATACAACTTTACTGCTCGCAGTCAGGTGCTGGTACGGCTGAGAAGCCTATCCGGTCCGGCAACCAGCCGGGATCTAATTGGTCCAAAGCCGGACCCAACAGCTAATCATGACCCAGCAATAGCCGAATGCCGGTTGCCAACCGCGCATCCAGAAGCGTTCGAATTTCAAGAAAGTTGATGCCGCTTACACTATGTATATGAGGCGCAGTATGTCTTCGATTTGAGCGTTAATATACCTTGTGCACCTTTGGTAGGTGTTTTTACGTGAACGCTAGCTTGGGACGCCCAGATCGAGAACTATTATCATTTATTTTTGAAGAGCATGGTCACAAACATAAAAAGTGAATGCAAGCGATGAATGCGAAAGAGTAACAGGAGAATATGGGAGAAAAGAGACAAACGTCTCATTCGAAATCATGCCAAGGACAGTGCCAGTCTGATGAGGTGAATCCCAAAGTATGTAAAGATTTTGGTATGGGAACAGGCGTCTAAAGACTAACAACCAAAGAAAGGACAAACAATGGTGAATGCTCTTCAAGGCGCAGTGTGCGCTAGCACAGTCAAGACTCGCACATCAGGCACAAAGTGACCGTCATACTGGGTCTGGTGTGAGATTAAATGGCAAAAATGTACCTTCAACGCCATGTGCCACGCATAAAAGTGTCATAGGGAGCCCACAATGGCAAGCAAACACAAGTCACTGACTGCGACCTTAGGAAGTCCCAGTCCAATAACAGCCTTAGCGGATTGGGGAAAGTAGATCCCTCGATAAGAGATGGTCATCGGTTGGTGAACCAAAAAGTCGATATCACAACCGATGGCATGTAGGGCTGAGATTATGGCGAGGGAATGTTCATCAGCACCATACTTCTGCTTCTTCTCATTCCACACTATCACTCCACGCCCATCCGAGACTATGCTGACGTCTATTACAGATGCACGGCGATCACGAACAGCGATTAGGTCAGGTTTGATGAACGACGTAGAAGTAGGGACTCTCAACTCCTCGGAGACGGAGACGTTTTGCAAGTTCCCTTGCAACCCGATTATGACGAGCACATCTGGCATCATGCGTGATCCAGCAGGATTGCAAAATATGCACCAAACTCTCCGGTTGGCCACAGTTTCTACGACATAAGATCGTATGGCCACCATGACCGTGCAGAGCGCTTCTAACTCTCGTCCTGAGCAGGCTGCATCAGAACTGGATACCGCGGATAAATATCCGTGGAAACCCTTGTTTTGGGAATACGAGCCACCGAGAAAAATACGGTTACTATAATTCGCGAACCCACGAAGCCAGTCGAGTTTTATCAGCTCTGAGGACTATTGCAGCAGCAACAAAAGCAGTAAGAAGGAGCGCAATAGAAATTCATTGGATCATTGACTCGGTCTCCGTATCCAGACGGCAGCAGCCAGTACTAGTGAGTTTTCTGTTCCCTCAAGTGATGCGGCGACGGCCTCAATCACACGGTTCACATTCTACCCTCTTTCTGGTCGCACATTTGACTTCTGCTTCCAGCATTACGAAGACACGTTCAAAAATGATTTTCTCGAATTTGATTATCAATGAAAAGCCAGGTTATTGCTGCGAAAATTCGGGAAGCCAGAGCAATACCGGTACATATTTCCTTCTCCCCAAGCTGCCACACGACCTCAGCCTTGATGAAATGGTCAGAACACAGTCCCAGATATTTAGTGATCCGTTACCTATGCCTAAAGTTGGTCAAGAAATGAGACGATGATTTCAACACGTTTGCCAATGTTGTCAGTCGGGAATGCAAGCTCAGCCCAATGACAGAGAATCAGTTCAAGTGCCCCTTTTTGCATCGTCCAAAGATTCTAATATCCGAACTCGGCTGCTTAACAGAATTTAACAATATGCCGAAATGATTGTGCGAAGCCTCGCCACATAATGCCAATGCTTCATCAACCTGAGCACGGCAGGGCTACAATCGGCCAGTCATATGTGACCTAAAGCATCTGTACACATGCAAGCAACCCCGGCGCGCCTAAGAAATCAGACAACAAGCCCGATCGAAATCGGAGCAAGCCTCTAAGAAGTTGCTGGGGCTGCGGTGAGTGGCATTTTGTACGTTATTACCGGTCATGGCGTCACAACTGTCGCAGGTGTTGTCGTCGTGGCCTCATAGGAAATTTACATTGATCTCGGAGGCCGCAACCACCCGCACACCGCCGTGAAGCCCACAGGTCTCAGTCCAACTCGGTGACGGCGTCACTCAAAGCTGATTTGGCCTGCCGAAGAAGTTCGTGACGGTTCGCAGCAGTTCGGTTGCAGCTTGATACGTTCCCCGGCATCACGCTGCTCGGTGAATTTACGTAAAAAATAATTTGCAGGACGCACGTGCAACCAACCGAACATTGGACCCGTAATGTTTTTAGCTGTAAAATGGAGTTAACTGACGAGATCACCCGCTCCATAAGCTTAAACGGGCCGATTTCACAAGCCACGTGCCATCAAACATCATGCCCCAAACTTGGTCTCACGGGGATGAATTATAGCAAGACGCTGAATCTGCTGGAGGAGCCAATTGTTTCTACTTTCAACTTCACTTGCAGCTCTCAGACCAACTGACATTGCGGCGGGTTCACCTGAAGATCTCCTACAACGCTACGATTCTCTATTCGCCGACAAGCTCGGACGGTGCACAAAGGCAAGAGCCAGACTGTGCCCCTCCCTGGTGCCAAACCAGTTCTCAGCGCCATGTGCAGCCTAAAGTACCCTTGACTAGGAACTTGACCGACTACAGAACGCTGTTGTTCTCTAAGCGACCAAACGCTGCATGGGCAGCACCGATCATGTCGGTCAAGAAGGCTAACGCGGCCATCCGGCTGTATGTAGATTTCTCTAACCGTCTAAATGCTTACTGGATACCCATCAATACCCTCTGCCTTATCCAGACGATTTATTCGCGAAATTGAATGTGCATAAATGTTTCGCAACGATCGACTTGGCCAATGCGTACCTCCAAGTTGAAGTTGAGGAATAATCCCGCAAACTTCCGACGACTAGTGCGCACCGCGTTCAGTTCCAGTATGCCCGGCCGCAATGAGGAATCAAAAGAGCGCCAACCATAATTCAGAAGATCATAGATGTCCCGGTGTTATTTCCCATTTGGATGCTCCCATTGTCATGAGTTCAAATCTGCACGAATTGTGGCAGTGACTTGATTGCGTGCTTGGTCGTATGCAAGAATATGGCTTAACGGTCATTCGAGAAAAACTAAACTTCTTCATGCGGCCAACAAAGTACCTTGGTTTTATCACTGACCAAAATGGCCACCGACCAGACCCGAGAAAATCGGAGCTACCAAACGTACTCCAGCACCCACAGGTCTCTCAGGTCTTTCTTTGGTCTGGTCAGTCACTAAATTTCGATCTTGCCTGCCAGGCACAGCTTTCAAAAGCCACTAAGTCAGTGACATACCAACGACCGCAAGTGGACATGGTCAAAGGAATGCCAAAGCGCCTCTGACTCTGACAAATCAACGCCGAGTTCCGATTAGCTACCCACCCACAACGATCCATCTCTGGAAATAGTTGTGGTGTCAAACTATAATCATCATGTTTAGTCCCAACTAGTGAATGGCATACCGTTAGGCATAATAGAAGCATAACTGGCGCGGATTGTGGGCACAGGGTGTGTCTAGGAAATGGGGCAGCATCACAGGGTGTGTGCACTATCCGGGTTAGGCGTGATTATCAAAAAACTAACACGAACAGGGAAGCACAGTTATTATGAATTTTTGGAAGGAACTTCGAGCAAGATCGGATTGAAGGTGGTGGCAAAAAACCGAACGAGGGAGAAAAACAAGAGGCTTCCTGCCTGACTCATGATACGAAAGATGAAACGGTGAAAAATAAGGAACCAGAACATCAAACCATGTGAAGAAGCAGAGTTGGCACCATCCAGCCGGTCAAATTGAACCAAAACCTAAAACCGCCCCTGAGGCCTCGTGTCCTTGGACTGTTAGGCTCATGGCCAGGCTCAAAAACTATAAGTGGGGCTGATGAAGTGGAGGGATTTGCAAAGCGATTAAGCGGTAACAGGAATCTCAAAAACGTGGTGTAAAATGAAACTGTAGAGACACGCTGGTTGCTGTTGTGTAGTCGGTCATAATAGTTCCTTAAAAGAGTGAAACGAAGGCAACGCACGAGCCGGAAAGCAAACTGTGTAGAAAGCTAATAATTTTGCGGTAGGTACAGACACACAGGAATGGTTAAGTGCGAACAAAAGATTCAGGAGATTGGAATGAGAGTGTCACGGAGGCAGCTGTTGCAGGTGGGGATTTTGTTCGTAAATTCAGCTGACGAAACGAGTGCGTGAGAAGCTACGTTCAAGGGTAGAAAGGGAATAGTTGCGGGCGTGCTATCAAACTGGGTATGGCACTGCCGTGCCATCGTTAGCCTGCCATACTTCAGTTTTTGGACAGTCCCTTAAAGGACGTCACATTTAATGTCATTCGGCGGGGGTGTGGTATTTTTTAGCAGTGGGGCCCTTTTCAGGCTGGCCAAGGAAACAGGGCAGAACGAAGTCCATATCATATCTCAGGTTGTTGGTCCGCACGGGGATCTGTGAGTGGATAACAGCCAACCAAGTCAACCTGACCGGCTTTTTCCGAAGCTCAATGCCTGGGAAGATGAGCGGATGGGGTGTGATTGGTAAAGCATGGTGAGTTTGAGGAGACATCAGATGGGATCCTGTGCATGGATATACACCGAAAGAAACGCCTGACATTCATATCTATCCGACCCGATAATCTACTGTTTTTTCCAACTTTAAATTCTTGTCGTGTGATAGGCATGTTCCTTTGGCTTTCCCTCCCCCACCATCCTCAAATAGCGACGACTTTGTCACGCCTAATTCGCATGCTCGCCTGAGTTTGCAAAATAAACGTATCATTAATATTACTGGTTGCGAAATGTTAAACGCTCAATGTGCGGGGTCCCTATGTATGCCTTGTATTAAAGCCGAATTCCTCAACAGCAGTGCCACCAATCATTGAGGATATATTTCATTGCAGTGAGTCGGGTGGGGGTGACTAATTGCTAACTGAACCCAGTACATAATTTCATCACTGACCTTGAACTTTGAAAACGCAGGAGTTACCTTCGGAGTCTCCGGACGTATTTTTCATGTTTCCATACGGTTTCTACAAATAAAAATCATTTCACAATACTCGAAACCCTGTAAACTTTGTTCCGCATGCCAAACGGTGTGCCACAACAACGACTGTCCAGTTTGAGGCTATTATCTATCCAGATCCTGTGCCCTATAGTCATCATATTCAGCTGTATATGCTAGAGAGGATAAAATAGAATTTCGGCGCACGCTTTGGCTGGATAGTGAGATGGCGATGCTCCCGACGCACTATACAGCTGAGTGTCATTAAGCAACGCCAGATTGAACATTATCAGAGGCTCTATCATCAATGAATTACATCAGATTCCCGGTTCATGTAAAGATAACCCTACGTACTTAGGATGCAAGACATACAGGCATAGAACAGGTTTCCAGCTGAGGTTGTGTGCATGCTAAGTAAATTGGCCCTAAACCGCAGGCATGATTTTCAGCCACCCACGTGTCCGCTCCCAAGCACCAACAACCAACCGAATGGATTGTTTTTTTATCCAAGGATAATTGCCGTCACGGTTCGCCATACTAATATCATCTTGCTCAGAAACTGGTGAAAACAATCCATTGTTAGTGACATTTAACCAGTTTTCTCTTCATCGAACACCTCCCACCTTAGCTATGTGCTCCTTCATAATTTGTCAGGGCTAATGATTCCTCGTATGATCCAACGTTTTAAATTTTGCGGACGGAGGTCCCGTCAGAATAATTCTTTTGCCACAGTCATCGGTTCTGTAGTTCACTATCGAGGGTTGATTAGAATGCGGCTGCCGGCTCGCCGAAACACCAGGAACCTCGTGAGTTTTTCATACCACTGGCGCCGCCGTACCCCACAAGCGTACAGATCTAGTAGTACTCGTATCTTGTATCCTGTATCCTTATATCTTCAGAACACTTGATTACCTATGAAGGGGAAACAGGGATATGGATCGTCCAGGATATTGTTGCTCGATTTGCCTGCTCCCCGTTCTCACAGATGGTATTAGCATCTACGAAATTGAATTCCTTCATCCTGAGCTTTATTCTAAGCATTGCCTCTGACATTCCGCGTAGCGCAGGACAAAATATTTTTCTCACCAGCCCCGTGCAACAGCCTCCAGTCTTACATGCAGATGCAAAACCTCAAACAATACGCGTTCGCCGAAACATACGAAAAAGCACATCATAGGCGTCCTGAAGTAACTAAACAGCCAGCCCGAGTGCTGGCAAACCGTGGCGAAGGTCACCTAAAGGCCCACATTTCCGTAGTGTTATCGCAACCATGTCTGCATGCGATAGAATAGTGCGTAACTACAACAACAGATCCATTGCCTCCCACGTAAATCTCACAAACATTTGGGACGATAGCAAGCCCAGTTCCTATAGGACCTATTTGATCCCTGCACATGAAACTCACACCCATCCGCCGAGGGCATTGTGAAGCTGCTCGCATGACGCTACCGTGGAGTTAAACTCAAAAGACTCAGGAAGTTATTTCTCACACACCCAAACAAACTGCATTTTCCTCAGGTTTTCTCTATGCGGTCCTGGAAACGATTCATCATCCACCCTACACAAAAGTCGGGGGGACATCAATATTACTTTCGTCCAGTTTGCTTTACAAGCTGAAATAAATGAAATTGGTGGGTCCCCCTCAACTACCTGCTACCAGAAACTTTCAACCGTCCCACACACTAGTCTCCCTAATTCAGCATTGTTCCGCTGAAGTTTCATTGTTTGCGCATGGGAACATACCCGGTCACTACGTTTTTCAGCAACCAACAAATACTCTGCAAGATAATCCATCGCTGGAAATGCCTACAGACGTTTATCTGTATCCATCACTTCAGCCGAAGGTCACTGGTGCACTTCAGCCTTTGCGCGCCATGCAGGCCGTACAACCTAGCGCGGATGAAATAGGCAAACAGTTCGCGGCCCAGTATTATCAGACCCTTCAGACATCAAGACCGGCTATACGAAATTTTTACCACGTAGGTTGTGCTTCAGTTTCCCGTAATTAATTGCCCCCAGGAACAGGCTCGTATGATATATGAGGGAGATGAAGTAGTTGGAAGAGAGAACATCGCCCAAAAATTACAAGTATGATTTAGTTTACACATTCATCTTTGCAGAATATCAAATGTAACACGCTGCAATTCGCACTTTCAAGTGTGGACGCGCAACCATGTGGGAACGCTATCCTCATCCTTGTTTGCGGACAACTACAGGTGGGTTTTTGTCTTGACGAATAGATTTCAGTGGATCGTTTAGAGCATATTAACCTAACTACTTGCGCAGACTGGCTTGTATGGAGCCAGAAATAGGCGTTTCAAACAGATGTGAGTAAAACAATATGATGAACCTCACCCACGGAAAGATTGAGAATCAGCGTGAAGTACGATCTCGTTAGGAATAAATAATTTGCGGACAGCTGCGTGAACGACTGGAAGCAGGTAGTGTGCCACAAACTATGGAAGGCTAAGATAGTGGTCAGGGCCAGAACATAGCAATGAAGTTAGACCTCGGAGACCAGGAATGGACGCCAACTATGGTAACCTCTCGGTTGAGTTTCCAAAAAAAACGAAGGTAGCCTGGTCGCGCTGGTGGTTGCTGATGCGTTCCCACGCGCTATGAAACATCATGTTGATACGGATTATGGGATTTCTAGTGCTGTTGAGTTTTCCATAACGGACCAGCTCTGTAAATTCACTTTACGGCGGATAAATGACGTGCTTGTTTTCGACCAAGAAATTCCTAGATTTGACAGCCTCTTGAGCTCTTGGTTTCACGTAGGCTGTGGAGGAGATAGGCGTGATTGATTTCGACGAGATCCAAAAGCCCAAGGTGGCAAGCGATGGGCGTATACGGCGAGATGGCTCAAGTGGTTAAAGCGCGAATTTACTGGCCGGAACGTCCGTGGTTCGAACTCGACCTCCACCTCTCGACTTCCCCTGCCTAGGCTTGGGCAACCTGGCAGTATCCCAGTCCCCGTGCAACTTCCGGGTGGCATGGCAGTTAGGCACCGAAAGGGTGCTAGAGCTGAACGATTTTTTTATACGGTGAGAGTCCCAGCTCCTCCCGATCGATGATTCCAGGCTTAATATGCGCAAGCAGCTGTAATAGCTTTCCTTCAAGTCAGGATATTACATTCACCTGGTGCACGGTTTCCTCGGTGTTCTCTAGCCAGATTGATTTGTACATCGTGCTCCTCAGTTCAGTTGACTCTGGAGTGAACAACACAATAAGACTGAATTCACTGCAGTCGTCTGCAGCCTACAGGTGAAGTAGAACCCTGAGTCGTCTGCTACAGGTGAAGTAGAACCCTGGACGGTGAACGTGGAACCACCTACGGCCTCGGAGGTTTACGACTGCATATGTTCTCTCACTCAAGCCCGAGCTCCCGGTCCGGATGACCTTCCACCCACACTGTTCAAAGAGGGGGGTGAAGTCCTCAGTCAGTGCTCGTCCGATCTGTTTGCTTGCATTTGGGAAAAGGAGTCTGTCCCAGACAACTGGGGAGAATCGGTGATAGTGCCCATTTTCAAAAAACGGGCGCGTAGTGAGTGTGGTAACCACAGGGGTATCAGCTTGACCCCGGTTGTAACGAGACTGTTGGCGTCAATTGTACTTCGTCGCCTTACGGTGGCTCGCGAAATACTGACTCGAGAGCAGCAAGCGGGATTCCGGCCTGGTAAGGGTTGCGTTGACCAAATCTTCACACTGCGTCAGGTGCTAAAACAACGCCATACGTATAAGCGATCCACAATTCTAGTATTCCTGGATTTCCGAGGCGCATTCGACTCGGTTGATCGG